TTTGAAGTAGAAAATGTGGAAATAGATGTTAAAAATTCTATTTATATTTCTCATACCTTTGCTTTTGGGCTCAACGCTAGTTAATTGTATGGCATATTATTATGATTATATAATTTTAGGGGTATAGAGGAAGTGATAATTTTAGGGTTAATTTTAGTTAATCAGTAGATTTTTTCTAAGAAATTATTTTATTTCTAGTTCGATTTCAATAAAATGGCAACACGAATATAAAATAATTTCAAACATCAAATATAGAGGATATTAACTATAAAGTAAAACATCGCAATGTTCCGATCGCTAATTGCGAGCTTCCGGCGATAGGGTTACACTCGTGCCGCCCGCGCGATTGATCTTTTCGCATCCGTCGCTCTCCTTTAAATATTTGCCATTTTAATTTTCTTTAAACACTTATATATATTTGTATGTTATATGTATTTGTTTTTAACGATTAGTATGAAATACAAATCTTTGAATTTCTCGGCTTTTCTGTACAATAATACGCATATATTATACATATAAATCTTCCTCTCGAATCACTCTATCTGTTGCTGAAAATTGCATTAAAATCCGTTGAGTAGTTTAAAAGATCTAACCGAACAGACAGCTGAAGCCACTTCATTTTATACTATGTAAAGATTATTCAAAAATATCTATGTTCTTATGTGTTGTATTTGTGGTTACTGGCTAGCATGCATGATTGCAGATCCGGCAGTCCTAGGTTCGAGCTCTGAGCAGGTTAATAAATTTTTATGTCAAGAAATTCTCATTACCAGCCTGGTTATAATAAATAGACCGTGTTGCAGTAATGTGTTGAGGTAGAGCTCGTTAAGCCATCGGTCATCCACCTGAGCCCTTTACGGTCATATTAATGATATTAAATTGTCATCTCATCGGATTTTGAAAGTGAAAGGATTAGAGAGAGGGCTCCTCTATCCGTAGTCGCACTTGTGCACTGTATACTATAGTATATTATTTTTACTGCCTCTGTGGTGTAGTGGCTAGTATGTACGGCTGCATACTCGGAGGTCCTGGGTTCGAGTCCCAGGTCGGGCCAAGTTTAGTTATTGAGTCTTTCTGTATAATAAGTCTCAGTAACAGCCCGGAGTTGAGAAGTTAAAGTAAGACTCGAACCCGCGACCGCTGGCACCGCAAGGGTCACTATAGACTGAGCCACACGCGTCGTTAAATGTTTCGAAATGTTTCTAATTTGTATCCGTAATGGTATAATTACAAGGTTTGTGTGGGCGAGATCAATCGTCTGTAATCAGATCGCAGGAAGCCGCAATTAAGGTTTTTAGGTCTTATGTAAGTATTGAGAAATGGTACGTTTAACATACGCCTATGATATACTAATTTTATATATACTAATTTTGACGACACGTTTGGCTTAATTTGTAGCGATCCTACTTGCTGTGACAGTGGTCGCGGGTTCGAGTCCCGCTGGGGCCATTCATTTGTGTGATGAGCACGAATGTTTGTACTCTAGTCATGGGTGTTTATATTTATAATATGTATGTATTTAAAGTTATATATGTGTAGTGTATCAACTATCTGGTATCCATAACACAGGCCTCGTAGCTTACCATGGAACTAGATGGTGTTGTGTGTTAATGTCCCAACATATTTATTTATATTTATTTATATACTTTCGTTTGTACCTACTTGTCTTACATTATTTATGTACTAGAAATTTTTCGTAAATACATAATTCTGTTATGTAAACAAAAAAATCATATTAATAGTTGAAAAACTCATGAATGTACCTATATATGTATATGGTGAAGAAAATGACATAAATAAAGGTGAAGCACAGATAAACTAAATCGTTCGATTGATTTATTCTTAAAGTATTTATAGAAAACGCTTATTAATTACAATAAAATCTATGTATATAACCTTATACTATTTTATTCAGCCCTTTTTAATGTCCCACTGCTGGGTACGGACCTCCCTTCTATAGGTACGAGGGGGATCAGGCCATAGTCCACCACGCTGGCCAAGTGCGGGTTGGCGGACTTCACATGTCTTTTGGAAACTTGCTAGGTTCTCTCAAACATGCAGGTTTCCTCGCGATGTTTTCCCTTCACCGTAAGGCAAGTGGTAATCATGTTAGAAATGATTCGCAAATGAAAATATCAGTGGCACGAGACCCGGGATTTATTTATTTATTTATTTATTTATTTATTTATTAAAGGACAACCAACGAAAGATACATTAAAAGCGGCATAATATTCATGTGTTAACAATTTCATTAATGTTCTTTTAGTAATAGGTTATCACAGCATACTCTTTTTTTTTAAATCACGTCAATAACATTTAATTATAAAATGGAAATTTAAAATTAAATCATAATAAAACGTTAATGAATAAAGTTGAAAATTAAATTATAAAATTAATACATGACAATTTAAATATAAAAAAAATACTTAATTAGACATAATATAATAAGAATAAATAAGTTAATAATGTTTTAAAAATAGTTAGTCCAATAAAACAAGTAAATTCAATTTGGGATTAGAATTAGTAGCAACGCACAAAACAAAGTAATAAAAAAAATATATCATAATTTATCGTAGTAACGATTGGCGATAAGTCGAAGGGTTACAATTCTGATAAATATTCGATAACTTTGCGCTTAAATTGAGGTAGTCTGTCATGGCATATGTCTACGCTTAAGATATTTTTTTTTGTAATCTTTATATATATAATTCTTCTGTGAGTGTGTATGTCACTGAACTTCTCTCAAACGACTGGACCGATTTTGATGAAATTTTTTGTGTGTGGGGATCTGGGAATGGTTTAGATTCATAATTTGAATAATAATTTTCATCAAAATGGTCCAGAATGTTTTAGCTTATTAAAAAAAGTTTGAAATTTTCAAATTAAAGACGTGTAGACAGGACAACGTCTGTCGGGTCCGCTAGTATTATTGTATAATCTCGACATTCTTGGCACAGGGGAATTCTTTCCCAAGTGAGTTCTGTAGACACCTACTTCTAACAAGTTGCACGGATGTCGGGGTATTTTAGGTGGGACGTGGAATGCAAATTTATTAAAAATATCGGAACAGTCAACTTCATTATTTAGGACTTTATAGAGAAAAGTCATTGCTAACATTTCTCTCCTATTTTTAAGACTATTAATATTAAAATGTTTAAGTCTTTCATCATAGCTATTTAATTTTAATTTATATCTATATGATAGTTGCCGCAACAAACGCTTTTGCACAGATTCCAGTCAGATTTGAACCCGCTTCACTCGGTTTCCCAAGCGAGCGCGTTACCACTGGGCTACCACTGCCTTTATTACTATTACGAAAAGCGAAAATTTGTATGTTTGTACGAAAGGGGGTTTTTTAGGAGTACAAAGGTTTTAATTAACATGACAATAAACAAAGCCGTAGTCTTAAACTAGTGCACAATAGAACAACTTATAAGACATAACGTTTCAAAATAAAGCATTCAGAACATCACTATTCACTTCTGAGAACACGAACATTGGATATGGGATTAACTTGTCAAGGGGTAATTTACAAAACGCCATGATAACTAAGTCTAATGCAAATCAATCGTCCAGTTCGCTGAAATATATTTTTACCTAATACTAAAATTCCTTAAGTGACACTAAATGGCTTAGTATTTCATACTGACGACATGTTTGGCTCAGTTTGTATCAACCCTACTTGCTGTGCCAGCGGTCGCGGGTTCGAGTCCCGCTGGGGGCATTCATTGTGTGATGAGCACGGATGTTCGTAGTCCAGACTTAGGTGTTAACATTTATAATAATACATATGTATATATTTAAAGTTATATATGTGTAGTGTATCAACTATCTGGTATCCAAAACACAAGCCTCGTAGCTTACCATGGAACTAGATGGCGCTGAGTGTTAATGTTACTAAATATTTATTTATTTATTTTATACTACCAGCACTTAAAAGTCTACTTTATCCTAGGTTCAATTTTCGCCTAAGGTAATTTACTTTTTGAAAAAATTGGTTTGTCAAATTATATGTTATGTGAATGTTAATATCTATACATATAATAAAATTGTAACTAAGCCGAATCTTTACATTAAATATTTTTTTGGAAAATCTTCTTGAAATAAACATTATTATCGATACAGAGACCGAATTTATAGTTTTTAGAATTTTTGTCGGTCTGTCTATCTGTCTGTTACCGCATCACGGAAAAACCACTGGACGGATTTTAATGAAATTTGGTATGATGATAGCTGGTTATCCGGGTCAACATATAGAATAATTTTTATTGCGGAAAAATGTCTCATTTCTGAGAAATCTGTACTAAACGTATAAACGTAGGTAGGGACGAACCCGAGCGGCGTGAGTGTGAGTCGCTAGTACCTATCTTATATACTCTACTCATATGTACTCTACGCAATTCAAACCTTAAAAACTTTAGCTGTGGTCAAAAATAACATAAAATTTAACATTTTATTTAGAAAATATATCACATTTCACAAGAATTTTTCATCGCCGACCCACTGTATAAACTCATCTCCAGAAATCTATTTGACAACTGTCTTAGAAGCTGCTAATAACCGTTTTCCTTGTAGTGTTGCATCGTGTTTCTGTTCCACAGAAGTGCATTAGCTTTTCGTCACTAATAATCCTCTAACATTCCGACACTTTTTCATCACAGTGATTTAGACGATCATGTTTCTTTTGAAATTGCGAGCTGTTGAAGTGGCTGTTGAGAATATTCTAGGACAGGTGTTGAATAAATTAATAATGTTTTTACAGCTTTTATTATGTAATGTGTCAGTGGAAAGTATTAGCGGCGGTGTGGTTTAAATTAAATTATTTTGGTTTTTGTGTATTCTTGCTTTAACTGCCTCCGTGGTGTAGTGGCTAGCATGTACGGCTACACACCCGGAGGTCCTGGGTTCGAGTCCCGGGTCGGGCCAAGTTTAGTTATTGAGTCTTTCTGTATAAGTAAGCCTCAGTAACAGCCCGGAGTTGGGAAGTTGGCGGTGTTTCACCCCCGTGCCTCGGAGAGCACGTAAAGCCGTCGGTCCTGCGCCTTAACTCTCACTGGTCGTGTCAAGTAGTCATCCCACCGGAGTATGAGAGTGACAGGAATAGAGAGTGCACGTTGTGTCTGGGCGTACACTTGTGCACTATAATATCTCCTGCGCAGTTGGCTAGTCTCAATGACATTGGCCGCCGTGGCCAGAATCGGTCGGGAGAACATCATTCTTGGTTATATTTTAATTAAGAAATCTCAAGAATTTCTAGTATAATTGAATCGAATAAATAGAACCTAAATGAATATACAATAAACAAAGATTTATTACTTGTGTACATCGAATTTACGACTTAAGCACAGTAAAACTTAATTTGTTATGTAAACTTATCAATAATATCCAATGTAGCTTATGAAAGCTTAAGATAGCTTTTTCTCGCGACTGCCGTTTTTATTTGAAAATAGGAAAATCTCTCTTTATAACTATAGAAAGTACACTGACTTCAATATCGCTTAAGAGCGTGGATTTTTTTTACTTTCTTGAAGAAATAAATTTCATTAAAAGTCAATTGTGAATATCCTTTTACAAGCGGCGAAGTAGAAGACTAGCGCAGGTATTTCGTAACATACATATAAACGAACATACAACCAAATGGAATGTATGTATGTATTCAGCCCTTTTAACATCCCACTGCTGGGCTCGGGCCTCCCTTCAGTACGAGGGGGATCAGGCCGTAATCCACCACGCTGGCTAAGTGCGGGTTGGTGGACTTCACATGTCTTTTGAAAACTTGCTAGGTTCTCTCAGACATGCAGGTTTCCTCACGATGTTTTCCTTCACCGTTAAGACAAATGGTAATCATGTTGGAAATGATTCGCACCTGAAAATATCAGAGGTGCGAGACCCAGGATTTGAACCCGCTTTACTCTGTTTCCCAACTATCTACCTACCACTGCCTACCAAATGGAATACCTCTATTTAAAATCGATCAAATATAGCCTATCCCAATCTCATCCGAATTGTCCATCACTAGTGAATATCGCGTTTAAATAAGTTAAGCCGAGATTAGTAAATATAAACAAACAGTGGCATACAGATAATTTTTAGTGGATGTAAGAGTGTTTTGTTATTCAACAAGTTCAATCTGTTTCGAAATTATGTCAAACGCTTTGCTCAGGTTCTCCTCTAGAAAAAAAAACAAATCTATCCCACGGGAACCGTATTTTTTCCAGAAGAAAATGTAGTTTATGTACTATGCCAGACTATAATCTATCTCTGTGCCAAATTTCATTCAGATCCGTTCAGCCGTTCTGACGTGACCGAGTACCAAACATCCAAACATCCATCTAAACTTTCACATTTATAATATTAGTCAGATTTTAATATTTTTATCAATATCGAGAAATATATATTTGTTAGGGTATATGATTTTACAGACGATATATTTATAAGAAAAACATTTTTTAACATTTTTTTTCTACCTGTTAGTTCCGGCTAATCTCCGAAACGGCTGGACCGATTTTGACGGGACTTTCATTGGCAGATAGCTGATGTTATAAGGCGTAACTTAGACTACTATTATTTAAGGAAGAGGATTAGGATTGTGCGCAAAAAAATTAAAACCTATGAAATTGCGAATAAAATCCGCGCACCTAGTTGTATATATAATGTGTTATGAATGTTAATTGACTGTAAGATATATCACATTACGTTATAGTTGTCAAATAAAGAGTTTTATTAAATTACTAGCATTGCCCGCGGCTCCGCGTTCAGATGACCAAAAACCAAATTCTTAGGTTTTACATATTAGCATACTCGTACATTGCAGTTTTTGTATTTTTTCTTAGAAATGTGACATTTTCCCGCGGTAAAAAGTATCCTATATGTTGACCCGGATAACCAGCTATCACCATACCAAATTTCATCAAAATCCCTGCAGTGGTTTTTCTGTGATGCGGTAACAGACAGACAGACAGACTGACAGACAAAAATTCTAAAACTATAGATTTGGCCTCTGTGTCGATAATAATGTTTATTTCAATAAGATTTTCCAAAAAATATTTAATGTACAGATTCGGCTTAGTTCCAATTTTATTATATGTATAGATAGCTTTTTTGAACAATCACGTATACAACTTTAAACATGAAGTACCTACCAAAATTTCTTGGCCATTGTCATATTGAGGAAAATTAAAAATTAAACTCAATTTAAATATAGGTGTTCAACAATTTGCCATACAAAGACAAAACGTATAAATCTCAATGATTGATTCCACCGTGTTCCACCCCGCCCTACGCCCGCCCGCCCTCGGTCGCGCGATAACGCACGTCTGGGGGAGGCTCGTTACTACGCTTTTATTTTAATAATGACTTGCTTTAAATTGTGTCTATTACGTGTTTTTTTATAGGGCTACCGCTTTCAGGATAATTTTGGGTAATAAAATATATATATATATATATATATAAATATAATTATGTCAGGACGTTAACACACAAAACCATCTAGTTCCATGGTAAGCTACGAGGCTTGTGTTATGGATACCAGATAGTTGATACATCTATACATATAAAAATAATTGTAACTAAGTCGAATCTGTACATTAAATATTTTTTGGAAAATCTTATTGAAATAAACATTATTATCGATACAGAATGCGAATCTATAGTTTTTAGAATTTTTTACTGTCTGTCTGTTACCGCATCACGAGAAAAACACTGAACAATTTTTAATGAAATTTGGTATGATGATAGCTGGTTATCCGGGTCAACATATAGGATACTTTTTACCGCGGGAAAATATCTCATTTCTGAGAAAATATACAAAAACTGCATTGTAAGAGTATACTAATATGTAAAACCTAAGAATTTGGTTTTTGGTCATCTGAACGCGGGCGGAGCCGCGGGCAATGCTAGTTATACATATATAACTTTAAATACATACATATTATAAATATAAACACCCATGACTGGAGTACAAACATTCATGCTCATCACACAAGTGAATGCCCCCCAGCGGGACTCGAACCCGCGACCGCTGGCGCAGCAAGTAGGATCATTACAAACTGAGTCAAACGTGTCGTCGCGAATAAAAAAATTCAAGGTTATTAAATTAAATTAAAAATATAATCTATACTAATATTATAAATGCGAAAGGAGGATGTATGGATGTCTGGAAGTATGATATTTGTTACTATTTAACGCAAAAACTACTGTATGGATTTTAATGAAACTTTACATGAATATAGCTCATAAATCAGAATAACATATAGGCTATTTTTTATCCCGAAAAAATATCGGTTTCCGTGGGATAGATTTGTTTTTGTTTTAGCTAGTTAAAACATAAGTAAATGTGTAATAAAAATCATTATACATATTTCATGTATATGTTTAGTTAAAAATATTAACTTAGAGTAGATATGTTTTTTTTAATTCATAGGGATAGAGTAATTTTGAGTTCTTAACAGTTATACATATGTACCAAAATTAAAAAAATTACATGATATATTCCTAAAGTTTAAAAGTCAGATTTCAGTAAGTTTCTTGATAAAAAATCGAACCCATTATCTACCACGGCCTCAGGGATACCACAATTAAAATAAATTATATTCAGCATTACTAAGACTACTTGGAATTTTTAAAACCTTGTAACTTGTTTTTCAAACAGCTATGAACTAAACATCCATTACACCATTTTAGTTCAATTAAATTCGCATTATACCTGATGCTATTATAATTTAAAGTTGGCAATTTTAAACTATAATAATATTAATATGTGAAGTCAGTTATAATTTAACTTGAAACGAATTTTTTAGCATCGCGCAATTATTTAATTTTAAAATTAAATTATACTATACTATAACTTGTTATATTTAGTTTGGTTCTGTGCTATTCTTATTTTTGTAAGAAAATCACGATTTCCCAATGAAATTGTAGATAAACAATAATAAGAAGGCTAGAATGTGAAATATCATGTTTATTTAACACTAGCGACTCATCCTATTGTCTCCACATACACACTTTCATCCCCATTTTCATACCTTTAAGGGATGATTTCCGGGATAAAAACTATTCTATGTCCTTTCCAGGGTCTTAAACTATATTCTTATTAAATTTCATTTAAATCGGTCCAGTAGTTTCGGAGCTTACTCGGTACAAACAAGCAAAAAAATCTTTCCTCTTTATAAAATTAGCATGTATAGATAGTATAGATTAGTATAGATATAGATCACCCCCCCAACGTGCGTTCACCTTGTCGTGGTGGGGGGGGCACAGTAGTGCCCGGCAACCCAACCGGGCGCGAAGCCAAGTAACGCACAGGGAGGTGGCCCACTTCGGTGGGCGGTGGGAGGTGGCCCTCTTCGGAGGGTGGTCTACCATGCGGGTTGCTCCTGGTACTTCTCTGATAGCAGAGTGGACCTTGGAGCAACCCCGTGGTTGTTGTGGTCTGCTTCGGCAGACCAGCCGTCGGGGCGTCGTAGTTCAATGCGTAAGCGATCCTGCGACGCCCCATTAAGACGGAGGAAGGCTTTGTTGGATTTTAGTGGGTAGTACTGGCTTTGCCGGTGACTCCCACACCTCGTGCGTAAATGCATTTCCCAACGTTAAAAAAAAAAGTATAGATATAGATCAACAACATAAATCCTTTGTTACATTAAAACACTAAAAAGTATAGTTTAAAAATAACTAAATGCAAAATATCTTAAATTACGTCAGTCCGTAATTCCGTTGGTGTGGACGATAAACCAACAAAAATAACTTAAAATTATCCTATACTAGTTTTAGCCGTGGCTTTGCTCGCATGGTAGCGACATTTGGACTAGCCTATATCCTAGAATATAGCCTATATTTTTTTGCTTAAAACTTGTTAAATACAATGCTTTTGTCTAACTTTTGTTTTATAAAAAAATGATAATTTTTACAGTTTTATTTAATCACATTATATTCTAAAAAGCGTGTAGAGGCAACCCTATAAGCGATTTCTTTTGACGTAATATAGTAAGTGTTAGTGGGGTCAAATTACGCTGTAGCTCGGCGGCTCGCCAGTGACGGGTGTTTGGGGTTCAAATCTGGGGTATTATACGAGCCCGCTTTGTGAACGTTTTGTGAGCGATTTTACGGGAATCCCTTCAAATTAAGGGAGTGTATGCGCAAGTGTTTCTTTGTGTTACCCCATAACTGGCAAATTGTAATATTTTTGTTTAAGAAATATATGAAACTAGCAGAAGCATCG